CAAACATACATTGTTTTGTACAAAAAGACAAGGAGTGGCCCTTAATTTGTTACACGTTAGTTGCCAGCAAGGTTATATAATGTGTAATAATTTTGTTTAGGGTTTTAGCACAGAATAAATACTTGAATCTTGTATGTCTTTTTTATAGTAATCTTATTGAATAATTAAAAATAATTTAAAAAAAGAAAAAAAAAAACAATCTGGGCCATATGTGGTCCATGTCTGGCCCTAATCTGGCCCACTTCTGGTCCACATCCGGCATGCCATACCTTTGCCAGATATTGCCAGATCTGGGCTGACGTACCAAATACTTTTCATCTCACAGCAGGGTCTGAGAATCTACTGGCCTGAACAAAAGTTCACTGGCCCTAGTCCAATTCTCAAAAATAAATAGATTAATTAATTAATTAATTAATTAATTAATTAATTAATTAATTAATTTAATTAAATTAAAACACGTAAATAAACTCATTGAGGTTAAACGAGCTTCCTATAACAAATAAGATCAAAAGCATGGTATTTTCAAAATGTTATTCTAAATAAAGACAACATTTAATCTGAACATTTAAAAACTAAACTAGAGCACATATTGCAGCTGAAAAAATTAACAGGACCAATAGTAGACTGCTTTTATGAAAATTTTACTGGAACAGTCGGATTTTATTGGTACTGTTAGTTGGGCAGCTATACCACGCCCCTTTACAAGTTTATATTGGTTTTTGTTTTATTCCGCACAACAGTAACATAGAATTTCTATGTCCACTTTTGAAATGTATAATCTGTGAGGTGACTGAGAATCATTAAAAATGTGATGAAGAAGCACTATCAATTCTATATTTCAAGCAGTGTCTGTTGCCAAGTCTTATCTAGTTTCCTCCCGATTACTACAAGTCAAATGAGAATTTCGTCGGGGCCTTTTCTTTTGCTTGCTTACTCCGTGTTGCTCAGAAAAGAGGGAAACCTGTATACTAGAAAAAAACACATAATAATGGCATTATGAACTACTACAGTACTGTAGTATCTACGCTGGCATTGTGGGATTATGCAAATACTGACTAAATTCAATGTGTCCCTGTTGTTTGTTATATGACTTGACTGAAATAATGTTGACTACATAATTCCCAAAGAAAAAAAATGCATGCCCGTCAATGTAAATTTAAAAATTCTGAGCGTCTTCTAGAAGACCCAGAATACAGCTTCTGTCTGCCCCTGATAAATGTACAATTTACAACTAGTTTAAAAAAGAAACATCAAGATCACACACTCATAACCCCACGAAATAGCAAGAAAATGTACTTGATACAACAGATTAGATATTTAAATGAGTTAAATCTGTCCTGGTTCCCATTGTTCTGGGAGGTCACAAGGAGGATCTTAGAGGAAAGGTCGTTAAAACGGAAAATGCCCAAGGTTGTATTTTTACGGGAAAGCTCTATAGGATTTTCAGTTACTTCTAGTGATCAACGGTATTTCATTCCGAAGAAAACTTTATTTTGAGGTCGAAGCTTATGTTTTATAAGGTTGCAGAATCCAAATATCGAGATATTAAGATATTTTCTGCAGTGTGCAGTGAAATTTTACCGCATCAAAGCAAATAACCACACACCCAACCGATAATCGGCAACAATAAATCAAAATATCGCACCAAAACTTCAATACACCTGACCTTGTCTTGTGCCACACGGCATGCTCTAAATTTTCATCAACGGCATTTATGATCTTGTATAAGTATAAAGACTTAACATAACTACAATTCTTGACTGATTTGAATAAACAAACACGAGTCACACATGGAATCACTGGAGCACTTCGTTGTTTTCCGTAGTCAGTGACGTCGTGCGTCGCCGTCTCGCGCGGGAAACAAACTCAGACGACACTTACGCAAAAGATTTTCTGGTATACGTGAAAGGACACTCTTGGTGTAAAAAAATGATATTGTGTAGAGAAACTGAATTTTTTTCCAAGCAAACACCATATTGACGTTAATCTATAAGTTAGTATTTTTAAAACACATGTAAGGCTTATCAGTTCGAGGATCTTTCCTCTCGGAAGTTGCCGCAAGGGATCACTGGGAAAACTGGATGTTGAAAAACCATTAGACTTATCTCCTTTAACCCATCAGCGGGGCTGGAGGGTTATTATCATTGACATAACTACTTCTAATATCGTCGGGTCGGCAGCCATGTTGACTTGTGGCTCTTCTTGGCAATATTGCTGGCCATGCATGAAGAGCCACTAATCAACATGGCGGCTGACCCGACGATAAACAAAATGTGCCAATTTGTTACGTTTTATCAAGGCTATTAAGTAATTAGTAGGCCTAATATATTTCGCTCTTATACGGTATCGGCCTATTTTGTTTGGAATTACCGTTTCCCGTGTTTACTTGTGCCTGCATGTGGACTCGTTTTTTTTTTTCAAGTGTATTGCGCTGTGTTTCGCCGTATTGGGCAGTATTGCGCAATTTAGGGAGATGCGCACCCTAATTATGGCCAGTATACTACCTAAGACTTGACACTTCTGCTTACCTTTACTTGTTATAAAACACGACAGCAGGTTGATGTCCTCTCTTATTTCACCCCGCTTAGCAAATGCATCTATAATTTAGGATTCAAGATGAGGTTGTCTTCTATCCTAGCTTCAAGTCATATCTAGAGCCCGCGTCTGAGGCGATGGTCGAGTACTTTACTGTAGTGATCTGGTTTCCTTTTCAATCATCCGCCCACCTTGCCCTTCTAGTGATAGTCTTTTACGGTAGGTTCAAAAGGAAAATAATATCAACATTTACTAACGCATGATCAATCCGTTACCTCTTTGTCACTTTCGTGAAAACACCCTAATTTAATGGGAGCAGAAAATCGACCTTAACTACAAAAAAACATGTTATGTGCGCATGCGCTTGCTCTAAATAAAACCGAGCGGAATTTCCAATGTTTATGTTAGTGGGGACAACAGGTGAAAAACGCCAACGCCAAAGGTTTCGAAACTATAGTTTTCTCATTCAAGCAAACAGATCAATATATTAAATATGTAGACATAAACAAAACAAATTATATACTTTACATCAGTGGGTATTTGGCACAATTATTAAACATTTCATATTTAACTAAAACTCAAACACACACATGCATCCGTATACGTGACCTAATTCTCGCCCAATTGGAAGGTCACGTGGCTGTCGATTGCATTAAGCACTTGTATTGTAAAGCTAAACAAGCAGAAACATTAGAGTGTTTCGGCGTCTCCTGTTAGTATCAGATAGCCTCTGCCGAAAGGGAGGACAAGACTTTAATACTACACCTGTTCTTCCAAGATTCGTGGTCAAAATATTTACGTGTGAATCGCTATGAGGAAATCCAACGCGGTGCACTCAAGGTTACATGTCGATACGTCCCCGCTCCGGTACATCCCCGCACCAATATTTCCCCGCACCGATACTCCCCAGATATACTGAGGGGGAGTATCGGTGCGGGGATGTACCGGTGCGGGGATCTATCGGTGTGGGGCCGTATCGATGCGCATAATACAAAAAAATTACTAAGGGGGATTATCGGTGCAGGGGAGTAACGGTGCGGGAGAGTATCGGTGCGGGGGAGTATCGACATGACCCCGCACTGAGGGGAAAACAGTTTAAATTTTACACACCACAGACAGAAAGCAGTTTATATACAGTCACATTCTTTTTTGTAATTATTTTTACATATTTTAAAATATTAAAACAAGATAATGGCTTCTTGAACTTAAAGGGATGTAACAACTGTTCATTTTGGCCAAAAATGAATTTTTCTGGGGTAAACAACAATTTTCCCATTCTTACCATTGGTTGATGAATCTATTTCTACATTCAAATTTAGTCCCTGGGTTTTTTTTTTCAGAAAGTTTGCTTTTTTGTAACCATCTCTTAAGAGATTATTACAGACTATAGCCATCTATGGAGGTCACATGGTCGGATGACAAGCACAGATTTTAGAATAATTGCTTTAAGTGCTATTTTTGGTGGTGAAATAGAACATATTATATTTCCTTGAGTAGTTTACAATGTTTTTATGGTGAAATATAGATTTTTACGAAGAGTTTTTATCCCTTTAACTTATTAATCAGAATAGTCAACAAGCTTACTTAACCTCTTTAGACTTAACGTATTATAAGGAATTACAGACTACCATAAAAAGGTAATTACCGGTACGTGTTGTTGCCGAAATTGCTTATGGATAAATACCGGTAAATGCCTCCGGCAATGTGTCAATACTTATAGTATATGGCATAGAAATTGGTAAAATTACAAGTGTCTCAAGAGCTACGTGTGGAAAAACTTATAAGTGTATGTAAATAGTACAAATTTAACTGACTATGCATCTCTGTAAAGAGGGTCCTATCGGGTATTTTCATTACCCGTGAAAGCCCTTTTAATATCGCCAGATGTCTGTAACCTTCATTTTATTAAGCTTGATCAGCGAAGCACCCCATTCCCAAGACACGTGAAAGCGGCTTCTTATTCTTCGCCCTTCGTGAAAAATAGTCATTATTCCCAGGAAATCACTGTGAATCGGGCAACTGGTATTGCTGGTATGGGTTATATATGAAATCAAGATCGAGCTGGCAATACCGGAATCTAGAATCTAGGGTAAGGGATTCGTGATTTTCAGGATTTTCGACTTGCATTGTCAGTGAGATATGAATAAAGTTTTATTTACTGTGATTTGTGAATTGTTGATTTTATTTCCCGTGAACTGTGATCGCTACCCCCCTGGGACCCTCTCAAAAGAGTGAGATCAATCTAAACTGCATAAGATACACATGGAATACCCCCCCCCCCCCCCGCCCCACCTGTGGTGGATTCAGTTTAGATTTGATTTTAGAATTTGGACTAAACCGTGCAAAATGGCACCGAACGCCGTCTAAAACACCAAAATATTTGGGCACTTCATCGAGTCCCGAACCCAAAGATCAAAGAGGGGGTGTGGCTTCGCATCTGCGGATCAAATAATCCTGAATCCGCCTCTGTCCCCTATCCTACCTGTATCTCCAGGTCAGGGTGGTCACTTTCCACGCCTGTATTGGTCAGTGTAGCCACTTTACACACCTGTATTGGTCAGGGTGGTCACTTTCCACACCTGTATTTGTCAGGATGGTCACTTTCCACATCTGTATTGGTCAGGGTGGTCACTTTCCACACCTGTATTGGTCAGGGTGGTCGCTTTCCACACCTGTATTGGTCAGGGTGATCAGTTTTTACACCTGTATTGGTCAGGATGGTCACTTTCCGCACCTGTATTGGTCAGGGGTCACTTTCCACACCTGTATTGGTCAGGGTGGCCACTTTCCATACCTGTATTGGTCATTGTAACCGTTGACCTTATTGCCAAATGAGATCTTTATGCTTTTGGTAATTTACGTTTGAGGCATATTTTAAAAATTTAAAAACGTGAGTCAGAGCCCCTGCTTAAAGTGAATTTGATCACTCTCGAGAATTGTAGAATAAAAAATGTAGAATTATAAATATCATCAAAGACATTTGGAATATTATTTTCAAAAATTATAAATTAATTCTAGTGCAAGAGGAGCTTGTTTCCTGGCATGGTGTATTCTGTGAACTTTAATGAACATTCATGAGAGGCGGGGCTTATGGCGCATACGTACCGCTGATTCGTCACGGGAAAAATACAGGCAATAATAAGCAAACAAAGTGAGGTGCAGCATTAATATCGTTGTCAAAAGCGTCCCAGAGCATCTTCAAGACTTTTTGTCAAGAAATTAAAATCGTGTCTAATGATCTTTCATTGATTTTCATTATTGCGATAACGTTGTGACATCTTGTATCTACCCTGAACTTTTTTCCTTTTTTCTCCCTCTGTCTTTCTCACTGTATTTGTTGAGTGAATGAGTCTTGTTCCATAATCCTTGCGGTAAGCTTTTACGTAGGTCGCCATATTTGATCTGCGGATTTCTTAGTCCTCTGTTCTGAATGCGCTAGTATACTTTACTCTCAGGGTGGGCTCCCGTAGCTTTTGGAATAAATAATAACACAGGTACTAGCAGAGGGGTCATGCCGATACTCCCCCGCACCGTTACTACCCCGCACCGATGCTTCCCTTTAGTAAATTTTTACATTATGCACATCGATACGACCCCACAACGATAGATCCCCGCATCGATAAATCCCCTCTAAAATTGCCGTTATACGCGCACCGTTACTCCCCTGCACCGATACTCTCCCGCATCGATACTCCCCCTATGCAATTTCCACGAAACTGAGGATCTGGGTAACAGAGAGTAAACCTTCCATTTAATTATACAGGTTAGGGTCAGTCTACGTAAGTGGGTCAAAATCTAGGGCGGGGCTGAATTACCTTTGCAAATTGATGGGAACCGGACTGTCTATCATGGGGGAGTCTGTCACCTCACATCGATATTGTTCCACAAATAGATTTGATAAATTGGTCAACGAGTCGGAAGCACGGCTTACACTGTATAAGAAATACTTTTTTCAAATGGAAAAACGCTTGGATATTGGTGAGATATGTGGAAAAATGGCCGCAGGGAATTCCTTGGTGATGTTGTTTTTATGCTATTGCGCGGAGCATACAAATCTTAATTGCTTAAAATTGAACATCGGTATTGTACAAAAGAAGCCGCAAAGTTTCTAAAAAAATCTTGGACGACAACACATTAGTCTCGGTCACAACCGGCCGCACGGGCTCTTACGACCCGTTTGAGTTCAAATTTTGCGGATAATCTCTTGTGCCACGCAAGTCCTTTATGCGAAATTTCGAGTTCGCGCGTATGTAAGCACGGAAGATATTGAACATTACCAATAGGTTCTAAAAATAATCTTCGAACAGCGAGGCCGCAAGCGTAACTTGCTCCCTTCGCAAGGAGTTTGCGAGGAGTTTGCAAGTGAGACTTGCGTGGTCCAAGACGCACGTCGCAAGCAATGAAGGAGAAAATGCCCTTTGCGTGTTGAGTACGGCGCACGCCCTCACATCTATAACGAAGTAGGTCGAAAACACAGCGGGACTGCGAGTATAAAAGGTGTGCTCACGACGCATGCTTGTGTCTCTACAATTTTGTTGTGCAACAATTTTCAAACTCTTTGAATTTTGATCAATTCAGATTCTAATATGCCTCCAAAAGACAAGGGCAAGAAGCTTAAAGAGCAGAAAAGAAGGTTGGAGGAAGAAGACAGAAAACGAAGCGCTTTAGCACTGCTTTTTTATTACTTATAATTTAACGAATTCGTCGTTGCGTGAAGAAAAGACATAGAGCTCTGCGTTATCTTTGATAAAAACTAACTTTGCCTTAAGTAAATAAATAAATATATAAAAGGGCGTATAGTATACATGTATATATACGGTAAGTCGGTAACTACAGTAGGAGAACGATATTAATTTTGCAAAAACATTTCTCAAAAATCACAAGGAAGAGCTGTAGGCCTATGTACTGGCAAGCTGCACACACAGTCTGAGATCGACTTCGTGTAACGTTCTTTATTTTCCCCAATATATATTGAATAAAATGTGCCAATTTTGGGTTCCAAGAGGGTGGTGCATCTTTTAAAAAAAGCATTATAGAAAGGGTTTTGAATCACGAATTGTATTTACAAAGCCAAGGGAATCTATCCCTTGGGGGAGTAGTGTTTTTGCAGATTATCGGTGCGGGGGAGTATCGATGCGGGGATGTAAAGAAGCGGGGGAGTATCGGTGCGAGGGAGTATCGGTGAGGGGGTGTAAAGAAGCCCGGAGTATCGGTGTGGGGACGTATAGGCATGTAACCCTAGCAGACACCACTCATAGTGACGTGGAGACCGTGATTGGACGGACGCAAACAGGAAGCGCTCTCTTGCCGTTTTGGTTCTTGT